AGATTTGTTCATTTTGTGATGATATCTTCAATTCTCTAGTTTTGGTGAATATTTTTGTCATTTTTGGTAAAAAGTGATATTTTCGACTTCTTGTTGAAAACTGTAAGTCCGACTGCTTTGATATTACATATATAGGTACTACATGTGGACCTCTCTCAGATTTGTTCGTTTTGTGATGATATCTTCAATTCTCTAATTAATATATTTTGGTGAATATTTTTGTAATTTTTGGTAAAAAGTGATATTTTCGACTTCTTGTTAAAAACTGTAAGTCCGATTGCTTTGATACTATTCATATTGTTCATTTTCTAATGATGTCTTCAGTTCTTTAATTGAAATGTGCATTGCTAACAGCGGAGCTATCTCAGCCGATAGGCTGCTTGTTTTCTCTAAACCTGGAAAATACGTCTAGATTTTCTGCTTTGCCATAATTTGAGAGCTTCACTGGCATCAAATTTCGCAAGAGGAGGACCTTCTACTAGGATGGTGAGCAAACGATTCAAAGAAGCCTCTTCTAATCGATTTCGGAGGGACGTTTTCACCTTGTTTTGGGCAGAGAATCCCCTCTCACAGATTGCTGTATTCACAGGCAAAACAACAGCTGCCTTTGCCAATGTTATTAAATTTGGTACCGTGGCCTTATGATTCGTGTTTATCAATTTCCACAGTAAAGTAAAATTGTCACGAGGGTAAGCTTGCTGCATCACTAGTGTTTTTAATAAACACCACTCATGTCGGGTTTCGACTGGATTGATAAGAGCTTTGTAAACTTGGTCCTCCTTGTTTACTTTATCAACACCGTAATGTGCGATCAGAGTCCAATTTCTCATTGCCGTGATCTGATAATTGGTCGGCGGGTACGAAGGAGAGATAACGCATTGCCAATACATCGAATGCCGAAATGACGCTGGTATTGTCTTCCGGGAAGCGTGTATTTATGTTGTCTATCAAATTATTGATAAACTCATTCTTCACGTTGTTAACGACGCCAATTTGTTTGATCTATTCTTCAAATCATGGCCCATTAAAGACATTAGCAAAGACCCATCATCGCTGATTTCGACCTCGTCTTGGAACTTAGTTGTGTAAAACCCCTTCACGTTTCCCTCTTTGTACTGCTTCAATTGCTCGATGGTTGCTCTGACGCATGGCTTCACGGCGGCGATGTCAATCTCATCTTTCTGAAACACGAGGTTAAGACGAGTAACGATAGGAATAATGTCCATCAAAATATGGGTAACTGCGACAAATTTATATTGTGTAGTAGAAAAGATTGGTTAGAATATTTTTGTATTCTTTCAGATAATCCAGCGTTGACGCAGCCTGGCTTGTACATAGAGCGAGTCGATGTGCAACACAGTGTACGTTCAGAAGAAACGGGTTAATGTCTTTTAATTTTGCACTCACACCGTTTTTCCTCCCTACCATTACGGACGCACCGTCACTTCCCAGGCCAAGCATTTTCGTTGTTTCGAGACCATTTTCCTTTACGGAATTGCAGAGTGTTTCTGTTATAGAAGTCGCGTCTTTTTCGACAAGGTGAAGGTTTCCAACGAAGTTAGATTGAAAGTCAAAGTCCGGGGTAACGCTACGTATACAACACAAGTCGGCCGGTAACTGATATATCGGTACTTTCATCTATTAAGAGGCTGAAGAACTCGCTTTTCTGGATATCATTCACTATTTTGGTCTTTATCGAATCCGCACAAGCCTGTTGCAATTCCTCGGCTGTTGTGTGTGATCGATAAGATGCGTTGCGGGCAATATTAAGGCTCTTTACAGGCTCACAGCCGCTGGTGTCTAACAAGTCTATAGTTGAATACTTATCAGTTGCTATGGCTTCTTTAGCTAGCCAGTAAACAGATTTGATTGCAACAACCACTGCATCTTGTTTTTGCATTAAAGCATTCGACACCACGGTTTGCATATCAGAACGCATCGTGATGTCCCACAAGGCTTCCCGGTGTTTGGCGCTGGCAGCATGTCTCATTAGAGTCGATGTCTTGTAATTACTGCATCCTCTATCGCTTGAGAATGGCGTAGTTTTGTCAGTTTCTCTGCAGATTCGACAGCCCATTCCAAACTCGTCATGTGTTTTTTCCAACCATGAATATAACGCCAACCAGTTATCTTTCCAAACGTCGATTTTCTTTTTTTTGGCTGCCGTGGTGTCACCGTCATCACATTTCGTGCTGCCCAGGCTCGGATCGGGATCGGGATCGGGCGATGTGCTTGGCAAATCCTGAATGGCATATTCGGGTTCAGACAAAGTGCTTGGCAAATTCTGAATGACATCATCTCTGTTAGTACTGTAAGCAGTGGCTGCACTCTCAGAATTGATTTTTGGCTCGCCTTTTTGGCCAAAAAAACTTGTAATCAAATTACGCGACCGCTTCATTATGGCTGCTATAATTAACGCAAGACTGACACGCTTTAGTCGCGTGTGGCTGTTACATACGCGTAAGTTGGGGGGGGGAGTGTTAACTAGTTCGCCATAGTAAAAATATTATTTTTTCAAGACCGCTAATTAATAGATTACAAATGGGAATATTTTTTTGTATTGTGTGTAAATTAATGGAATCTTTTTTTAGTCGATTCATTAAATAGTGATTTGTTTTTTTTATGGGTGAAAACAGACAGTCATTTGTTATGACGTGATCTAGCATGGGTAGGTTTAGCGAGAACTTCACAGTACAACACTTTCGTTCCGTACAGCTTTGTATAAATTACGCAAATCAGCCAAAAAAATAACACCGTGACCCAGTTACGCCAAAGATGGAAATTCCCCCAAAAACTGGGTACACACTCGTCCCCCCCCCCAAAAAAAAAACATAATGCAAGCTCATTGTTTAATTAATTTAGTTGCAGTCGGAAATTCTAAACTATGCACATCAGAGAGCTGTGCCGATCTGGTGGGCTTGACAGCGTGTCAAGCAGTTATCCAATTAAAAACGTGAATTCACGCATCAGGTCACTTGTTGCTCCCATATCCATATCCATATCCATATCCATAGCGATGAACTTTCAAACTTTCAATAACACGGCGCCTTAGTCTTTCGCGCTGGGGTGCTATCTGCGTTGACTGAGCGTGAGTGTTACGATCTGCATGCATTGTTTTAAAGCACTTTTCTTGCCATATGCCTGTAGTTACGTTTATTTCCTGAATACACATGATTAAAGTTGGTCTTCAATCGAAATCATCGCTGGCACGATGAGTTTCCTGTTGGTATCACCGGAGATGTCAACCGTGAAACAACGGTGCATCATGAGCTCCATGGGCATTGACGCTGCAGGTCGGCGTCTTCTACACCGATCTGACGCATTATCCGCGCAAGGTGTGCCGGGAGTTTGTTCGAAATTTCGAACGTTTCGAAGACAATCGTCGATTGGCACGTATTTTACGGATATATTAAATCGTTTCAGGGACCTGTTTTCTAAATAATGATAAACCAAACTTAGAAAACTTGTAAGAACAAACTGGGCACAAATTGAGCAAATTTGCAATAAGTTTACGCTGCTAGAGTCTGGTTCGGATGGAGTTCTACGCGTGATTTTATTGCGCTCAAGGACGTTCTATTTTCGAACTAGTTGAAACCGGAAATAACGCAACTACTTTCGAACTTCAAACACAAATTTGATTATCGTTATTATGTGTTAGTTTCTGTTATTTCAAAGATTGAATTATGTATGACTATAATATTTCATTCTATAAACAATATTTCACTAAAATATGTGATTTAAAGGCAACCCAAATTGTAAAAAGCAATATCAAGTTCCGCGTATAAACACTGTTGTAAAGAGGCGGCGGAGCGGAATTTTAGCCAAAATCGGCTAGTAAGGCGTCATATGACACAGGTTTGTGCTGGGACAGCGCTTCCGGTGACGACACAACGCTCCATGGGTGAATCGAAAACCCGACGTAATTTATTAAACGGGACACATACATCAAGTGGTGTTTTGTTACATATAACGCTGCAAATTCATATAATAATAAAATATTTTTTAAATGATTTGGACGCGCGAAATAATTAATTAAATCACGCAACAAGCGGGAAGAACAATTTATTTTTGCCTCGCCTAGTTGCCCTGTCACACACACACTTCAGAAACTCAATGTGGGCTATTCCAACTTATGTACGCATACCCGAAGAAGGTTACAATGTAATGTTTTTAAATATAAGAACGCAGAATTTTAAACGAAATATGCGAGAGGATATCAGCAAGCTACTCGGCGCGTCGCAGTCCAATACACGCACAGACCATCATTAAAAGAATTCAATGGGCAGTGAAGAAAGGGGCGATTTTCGCCTTTGGAGTATTTTTTTAAGGGCCCACAAAGTGTAGTAGGCGGGGAATCGCGCAATAAGTATGCAAAGTATGCATGAGATTTTGCTTCATCTTCATTGCCCATCACAGTACTTGGTTAGACAGTTGCATACCCCTATCTTATAAATCCTTGGTGTTAACACCTGTAAAATACTTTATTTTAGCTGGAATTAATTTTCCTTGGAAAGACTTTTTGGGTGTTTTGTATGGAATGTATTATTACTGATAACTGACGAGTTGAATGTAAAATACAGGAAAAAAGTTATATTCGCCGGATTATATTTTCATTGAATCAATCCTTCACCGAAAATGGCGAAAAATGATTCCAATCGAAAATAAAGTATTTTACAGTATTAGTTATTTCTTACAATACAAATCCCTAAATATATTTTATTCTATTATTGTATTTATACATGGACACAATATATGTAGCAACTTACATGTAGTTTTCATACATACATTGCAAGACATCGTGAGACATAAAAATAACTATCAATTTGTGAAATATCGAGAAAAAGTGGAAACCCTCCCCTTGCAGTTGCGGAACCGACTGTGACCTATTATAATAGTATACATATTGTTTAAAACTTGCAATCTCCTTCGCTAAGTTTTTTTTTAAATCTGAAAATGTGGAAAAGTTTGTTACCCCGGTAATCATAATTTCTGAATTTTCTAACAGCTATTCCTGCCACACATGAAAAAGAAATCGGAGCAGCAAGGCGCTATGGACGGTGAAACGTTGAAAGAATTCTGGGTAGTGGACGACATGTATACGTTTGAGAATGTGGGATTTACAAACACAGTGAACGATATTAAATATCTTATTTGCGCCGACTGTGAAGTTGGTCCGATTGGATGGCATGATCTAAGCAAGAAGAAGGAATTCTATATTGCTTTGGATCGAGTACATCATATATGAATGAGAACTGTTCCATTATGGTGTGTGCTATAAAATATAGTTGTATTTTTTTCTTGTGGAATAGTCTGTAGTGTTAGTACCATTACTTGATATTTCATTCTTCCAATGTCTAGCATATTCTGTCTGATCTTGGGTAATACCCCCAGATGGAATCTGTCACAATAGTAAACTCTCTGAGTGTCAAACAGTCAGAGTTAGCTAATTTAAGATAGAAAGCTACTTGTACATTTTTATCGTTTGTGCGTATTTAAGCACATTCACCAGTGATATTTCATGTCAAAATCAACAGTACTAGTCAAATAACATGTGACAAATGGCATTTTAGCATCAAAACACTAAAACATAATGTCATTTTTAGAACTTCTTGACATGAACAAGAACCTTGTAAAACACTATATCAATTTTCTCCCTAATGTCACCAAGCAACATTCTTGAATATTGAGAGAAGGTATTGATATTGTGTGAAAATTACAAGTTTAATAGCATTCTACTGCAAAAAGCTTGATATATTCTAATAATTGTTTGATGAATTGTGTGAGATTAGTTAGAAAATACTGTAAATCAGCTAATTTTCATCAGTAACCATTTTCAGGAATTTCATACAGCATTCTGTAAAATGACTAATATTCACTGGGTTTAAATTTCACTGATTTAGCATTTCAGGCATATTCAGTGGGTTTTAAATTCGCTGTTTTATCATTTAGATAACGTGTTCTATGCTCAATTTTACATTTTCCAGTCAGCGTAATAAGCAAAATTAAAACCCAGTGAATAATTAACCCTTTTACAGTAGTACACATGGACTCAATTATATTGTATACTGTCATCGCAACAAGAAACACTATATGAATTGTAATGTCTATAAAAGCATGGTACGTGGCAGTGAAAGTGCCCATCAATACCAGTATGATGTATTAAGTAATTTGTTTTCCTTTTCATATAAATATTTGCACAGTATTTTTAGAATAATTGATAAAATAATAAATACACATATACCTCACAAATGTTATCAATATTCTGCCTCTCAAAACTTTAATCTCCTTTTAAAGTGAAAATTTGTTCTCACTGAAGTAGAAAGGTTGACCAATATAAAGCCAGTCTGGAAGGGAAGATGGTTGAAAAACTATTATTTGTTCTTTAAGTTTAGTTTTGAGGTAGATTTTTTGTCACAAAGATGTTGCTTTCTTCCATCAAATATGAGTTTTTTAATATGTTTTTTTATAAGAATTTTATTTTTTTCAATCTTTTTTCACTTGGATAATTTTTTTTTTCAAAATCTAACCCTCCCTGATTTTCTAATGGCCAACCCCTAAGTAAGGGTTGTAGAACTAAAGATTAAATAAAAGGTTTGTAAGAAACAAATCTATTACTACCTACAATTATTTTCAAGAAGATGTGAACATTTTTTATAGAAAATGAACATAAATAGTACTGTAAAATCTGTATTAGAAGCCGCGGTTTCTATTAAAATTGGTACAAAGCAACAGAGGGGATGCGGCTTATATTAGAGCATCTACACATATGAGAAATGATGAATTTTTGGTTCTCAATTGTACAAAAAGCTTGGGTGCGAATTCTATTAGGGATGCGGCTTCTAATACAAATTGTACGGTATTTAGCTCCCTTTCAGACGTAGTCCAAAAATGGCAACCTATAATTTCACCTCCGTGCATTCGTCCACCTGTATCTTGAACATTCCATGGCTAATTACATTCAAACTTCACACACATACATCACTCATCATATCATGTGTTTACACATGTATTTGTGGTGTGATCTGATTCAAGGTGACTAAATAGTGGGCATTTTAACAAATTTTCAAAATCCAGCATTATGCCTTTTTCGAAACTAGTAGTGCATGGACTTATTTTTATTCAAACTTGGTATATTCATTGAACGTATTGGATTCTTTATGCATGATATTTTTTTGTCCAGATTGGAAAAATAAAAAATGACTGACTTAACTAGCCAAGCTAGTTAGCCAGCCAGCAGTCACAAAAGATAAAAATACTGCGGTGTTTAGGCATTACTAATGGGCTTCTCTAGCAAATGAAAACTTCTTTGTATCTTACAGGGTAATCTTTTCATGAATATTTACTAAATTTCCATAAAATATGGTCATGTCTTCTTGAAACTGATTGTAATCAGGTCTTTGTTGAGAAAAAAATTGACTATTCATAAATAAATGTATTCTGTGTAATTATTACATCAATGATTATATCTCTTTTTGCAGCGGGTAGTAGTTGATGTCTAACTAATAAAAGTTATTGTTCAAATAAAGATATTTCAGTTTTAATAGTAAATTTTTTTTGAGCCGCCTGGCAAAGCTATTGGTATGGATAATTCCTGTTGTTGGCCCTCTGCGTCCACTTTCCCTTCAAGTGACTTCTTGAAAATCGCTAGTTTTGTCATAGGATCACATAGTTTCTTCCATGATTTCCGATGTTGTGCCTTTAAGCTAAACTGTGGAATACTTTATTTTCGCTGGAATTAATTTTCGCTGAAAAGGCTTTTTTGGCGTTTTGTATGGAATTTATTTTCACTGATTTTTGATGAGTTAAATGTGAAATATAGGAAAAAAAGTATATTCGCTGGATTTTATTTTCACGGAATCGTTCCTTCAGCGAAAATAGCGAAAATAAATTCCAAGCAAAAATAAAGTATTCTACAGTATATCGTTCTTTCTCAACCCTGTAACATCTTGACTAGTTTACAGCTGTTTCAAGTGTGAAACAAAGGTAGGTACCGATACACCAGTGGCTGCATGGGGGGCGTCGCCCCTCCAAAATCAAGCTGAAAACCCATTGTGTCAGCAAAATTTGCCCTCTCTAAATGCAGGAAATAGCGTTTCAGAGGGTCTATATGTCAAAACAAAAGGGGTAGCATGCCCCCAGATCCCTCTAGTAAGGTCGCGCCTTCGACGCAAGGTTGGTGAGCAGAACTCATGCCGCCACCTCTGTACATGTAGAAAATTTGAAAACTATCTTAAATTTATTGTAAACTATAAAATTGGATCAGCAATAACAAAACTAAGGATATCAATTCACAGTTTACCAACAGAACAAGGCCGCTACAAAAATATTCCACAAACTGAGCAAATATGCAAATTGTGTGATACATCAGAAATTAGTGACGAAATGCATCACACTAATGCTAATATTGTTTCCTATAGAGTACGTTTATTTTACAAAATTAGCTTTCCAGAGTTTGAAAAACTTAATGAAGAATGTAAGTTCATATATTTATTAAGTGCTTTAGAAACTTATTCTATTGTATCTTTTGCCAAATATGTATATTCTATTTTGAAAGTAGTTGATAGTTATAGTTCTGTTTAGTGATCATACTGCTGTATGAACCATATATAGTGTTGTGTCAATAAATTGTTGCTAGCCAGCTGGAGAGTGAAGATTTCCTTGCATCATCGATCTAGATTCCGTGCTTTTTTCATTTATTTATTGTAGCGCCCCCAGTGTTCTAATGAGAAACTCAATATACTGTGTTGTTGGGATTTATTGTGTTCGTTACTAGGTGTATATTTCTCTCCGTATACAGCCTCAGTTGAAACAGATTACGGTTGACCATTTGAAATCCTACACGTACACGTATTTCCAGGACTTTTTTTCTACAATTTCCTTTTTTGAATTAGGCGGTATATTTATTTCATGCACGTGTTAAAGAACTTGCACACTTTACATGTAAATATAAATATTAATAGCAGTATATCCAGCCTATTTATTCCGTTGTTTGAGCCGGTTGTTTTTGGCACAAATTTTACAAGTTTTCGGAAAATGCTTTATACGCTTACAAAAAATAAGATCATTGTACAAATTACGAACGAATAAAATAGATGCTTACATTTTACAACTTGACCATGTCTACGAATTTACGTTTTTTATTTATTTAAATCACATTATTACAAAAATAAAAACAATTGATTACAGCTTACGGAAATACCATTTGCCGACCCTTATCGAAGGGGAGTTACCAGCGATAATGATTAGCGCGCGTCGCGCCCAGGTCAAAACTCTTACTCGTGATTCCCATTAGAATATCGCATTGAATTGTGGGGAAATCGCGTATGTGTGGCGCGACGACTACCGTTCTTTAAATCCCAATGTATCTCTCTACCAAGCATTGTATTTAGAATAAGTTTAGATGTCCGAGGTTTGAATAAATAATTGGTATATGTTATTCAAATTAACGGCAATTCACAAAATTTTAGTACGAAACTATTGTAGATTTTTTTTTGAGTTATATATAATTTTTCACAGAAGATGTAAGATCTCCTTATATATATATCATAATAATAAACCGATTTTTTTTATTTTGGCAATGAAAACAAACTTTTATTCTTGACATGTGTTTTCATCGTCATAGTGGTAATTTTTTTAAGTTTTATAAAACTGTCATGAATTTGTTTTTGCGTATCTGTTGACCGACTTAATTAGTTGATTACGAGCGAATTGCTGTGTTGTGTGTGTCATCGTTTAGGCCTATTTGAAGTTTTGGACGGAACTTGGCTTAGTGATTTGGAACTAATTACAAGATAATCGTCGCTATTCTGACAGTTGGTTTCCATAGTTATTAATGTAGTGAACGATTAATCAAAAGATATGACGTATTCAGTACTTAGTGTGATTGGCTTTATGATTGAAGGTTACGCCTAAGAGTCTTTTTACTGCTTTGTAATTGGTTAAAGTTTTGAAAATGAATAAAGAGAGTTTTGAGTTGGTCTTGGGGAGCACAGCACGATAGAGGCAGAAAAGAGGCAGTCCTGGAGAGTCAGAGTCTAGGGCAGTCCTGGAGAGCCTTGGGGCGAGTGTTGACGCAGTCTAAGAGAGTCTTGGGTCAGCCTTGCGAGAGTCTTGGGGACTTTTTCCCCAGGGCGCTGTGTCTTATAGAGTGCTCCACAGATCGACTAAGACGAGAGTTGAAACGTATTTCGTTGTGTGTGTCTTATTTGACTGTAAAGTATAAGTGACTTTCCCGATCCCGTACCTCAAGTGTGGAGAACCCGAGAGTACAAGAATTATTCCCCCTGATAAAACACTGTCATTTTTTATCTCAAATTACAATTTAATTTAATTAATCACAACTTGTTATGGTTATTGGAATACATGTAACTAAATGATCAAAGTATTTAATATCGAATAATTCTAAGGTCTTTAATTAAATCTATAGAAATAAACACAATGCCGTGACATTACAGTAATAATATAATTTAAACAACATTTCATGAAAAAAAGGATTCCAGGGAAATAAACTCACTTTTTTTTTCGAAACGAAGAGCAAAATAATAATTTTGAATTATTAGAAAACTGCCCGTGTTGAAACAAATTGGAAAGTTCTCAGTGGACATGACTTGAAAACTGGATCAATCTTTATAACGCAACTACATGTTGAAACATGTTGGCAACACGGGCATTGATATATATAATGACGTCAGCAGTTCTAAATATAGCTCACACTATGCCTGTCCAATCATGTCGGTAGCAACCACACTAGCAACGTAGTACTAGTGCGTCACGGTAGAGTATAAATGCAGCGACGTACCGCTGACTGTCAGTACACTGTAACCAGCGTAAGAACACAGTCAGCGGTCTAAAAAACACAAACTCACACTGCTGAGATGGCAACAGCTAGCAAACCAAAATGCAAGTACTGGGACAACTGCTTCAGGAAAGATCCGACGCATATATCGGCATTTTCACACCCAAATGGCCATACACCAGGCTCCCCGACAAAAAAGAAACCAGTCATCGATGACAAGACCGACGATGCCGGTACCGGTTCGTTTTATTTTTAAGTTGCATAACTAGTCATTTTATTACACGATCACCTCGATACAGTTTAATTGTAAATACTCTATATTATAGTGTTTATAAATGACAGGTGTTAATATCGAACGCATATCTTTATTATTTTGCATTGAAATATATATTAATCGCGTCGAGTAGTGATAGCATAAAACAGCGAAACTTGACACGCCCACCACTACTTAGAGTGAAAGGCATTGTTTCCTTTTAACCTCAGTATTAAATAAATATTTAAAGTAATATCCAAGGCACACAAATAACGTGCTAAACGTACCGTTCACGAAAATACTTGCTCACTCTCACCTTAGAGAATAAATTATAACAATGAACATTTAATTAAATTATAATATATATATATATTCATAATAATAATTGTGAGATAAACTGTAATTATGTTGTAATATGTGTAATATTGGTTATATGAAACTCAAAATAATGTAACATGTTCTATATAAGCACTTTCGCTTCATCAAATGGCAACTTGGCGCAGCAGGTCACGTGACATTATACACACAAAAATAAGAACCTGGCCGATTAATATTGAAATCAAATGACAATGTATTATTGTGTATCACACATGCCGTTCAATTGTTCTAAGCCGTGTTAATTAAAAAAAATGTAGATGGCAATGCGATACAATGCCGCAAAATTGTTGCATTTGATATTACGAGATTGGGCCTACTAGACACTCATCATGTCCATAATATTAGCTACTACGTTGCGTATTTCTTACAGACGGGGACCGCGCCCCAGCAGCTGCCACATCAACAGCAACAACAGCAGCAACAACGACAACAACTACTTTGACTCCACAGAAAAAACGCAAAGCCGACGAAGACGGCGAAGACAAATCCAAAACAAAAAAAACAAAGAAAACAACAGGTTGGGATATGAGCGATAGTGAGGACGACAATGATGATGCCACCGAGGCGAAGGCGAGTATCAAACCCGATTCCAGTACAACAAAGGCGGTAGACGCAACATCAGACTCGGATGAGCCCACTGTTACATTATCTCTCAAGAAACCGAAATGCAAATACTGGGACACCTGCTTCCGGACAAATGCAATCCACTTAAGGGCGTTTCTTCATCCGGGTAATTATTATGAACAAAATAGTTTTTTTGGAGGGAATAAATGTTTTATAACTGATGAATTATGTTACAAATTAAGTTAAAATGTTTAAATAACCACGCACTATTTTTTCAGCTGACATGAAACAGAAAAACAAAATGAAAGACGGAGACTTTGTCGATGTCAAATCAGGCGATACAACATATCAACTGAAACGAACAGGCGACTCTTACTACTGCACGTGAGTACATAATATATGAACATACCAATTTGTAGCGCAATACCGCGGTCGACAACATCGACAAATTTTTAATTTTCAGAAGTTACAAATTATAACTAATTTGTTTTTAGATGCATAGGCTGGAAGCAACAAACGAATCCCGTTGACAAACGAACATGCAAACACTTGGGGGCGCATCTCGGCGAAGAATATGAGCAGATACGACTCGGAGAATACGCCGCACGGCGATCGAGAAGAGTGGCGTCGACAAGCACCGACACAAAGCCCAAACCGAAAAGTAAAGCCATGATACAGTTATTGTTGGCACACAAATGGACAGATAGGTGAGTAAAATAGCAAGTATGTTAGCACTCCACACTGTAATCGAAGTGTCAGAATTGGAATAATTGGGAATAATGCGGGTATGAATGTGGCGAGTCCTAACCAACAGGAAAGTGGCGAGTTCTAGCCAATAGGAAAGTTTAACCACTATTAGATGGTCGCTGTTAAAAAGTCACAGTGCTTGACGTAAATCTGGAGATGTAGCGATGTACTGCACACTTTCATTCGATGGGCATCATTTAGTCTAAACTTACCTTATACATGTATGTATATGCTTTTGTCTAACGATATTAATATTGTGTTGCAGTGTCGACCCGAAAGGTTGGTGGATGAGTGAAAAGCTTGACGGTGTTAGAGCGTGGTGGGATGGACGCAAGTTCCGCTCTCGGCTGGGGAATACGTTCTACGCACCGGGCTGGTTTACAAAGGTACAATACACAAAACATGAATTGACTCTAAATGTCACACACATAGCATAAACATAAAACACGTTTACATATTCTATTTCTTGTATCCGTGTTGCAGGATTATCCAACTGACATGGAATTGGACGGCGAATTGTTTGGTGGGCGGGGGATGTTCCAGGCTACCGTCAGTATAGTTAAGTCGTCGGACACCGATGAACGATGGAAAAAAGTTGTATTCCACGTTTTCGATGCCCCAAATGTAAAAGATACGTTTGAAAAAAGAATGGAGGCGCTAGAAGACTACTTTAGTGCAAATACGTAAGTACATGTATGGGGACGGATGACGTCATTGTTGCATTGCATTGTTGGGTATATGGATATCAGTAACCACAAGTCTAGAGGGAGGAGAGGGAGTGCGCCCCTGCAAACCCGCCACTGTATGTATGTGAAGATTGCGGACATGTTGAATTGTTTTGTTTTTTTATCATATTCTGTCTTGATTACCATTCACCCTAAAATACAACTAAGCGCATTAAAAACACTCGAAAATCATTGGAAATGTCTGTATGGCGTAACGTAAATTTGAAATAGTCAATGCATTTTGGGATGTATCCTAATTACTTACGCTGCAGGTTTTTCCCCAACAGCGTGACGACAGTTAAAGTGGTGGACCAGACTAAATGTAAAAATAAAGAGCACTTACAGGAAGAATTAAAAAGAATAAACGGCGCTGGTGGCGAAGGCGTGATGATTCGGCAACCCAAATCGAAGTATGAGAATTGCCGATCCAAAACACTGTTGAAGTTAAAAACGTTTCACGACGCAGAGGTGGGTATTTATTTAGTTTTTTTAAAATCATTTCGTTTATTTATTTTTGTTGAAATTAAAGTGTGATATTCACAGTAAAATGTATCCTTTCACAGGCCAGAGTTGTTGGATACAAAGAAGGGAAGGGGATGAACCAGGGACGTGTTGGCGCCCTCAGAGTTCAGATGGCGAACGGAAAAGAATTTTCAGTAGGTTCTGGGTAAGTATAATGTTCTTGATTAAATATGGTCAATCGTTTCTCAAAAAAAGTAACAATATTTGATAGCCTTAGTTGAAGTGAAACCATATAACTCTTTCCATGTTTCATTCACCCAGGTTAACAGACGCACAGAGAAGAAAACCACCAAAGAAAGGTACCATTATCGTGTACAAATTCCAAGAGTACAGTAACAGTGGCACCCCTAGGTTTCCCACATTTGTCGGCGAAGCCGCGGATAAGACTGAGCCTAAGGACTGCATTCTGACGTCAAATAAAGAACTTGCTGATAACGCAGATAGTTAAGGGCGCGAGGACTGCCATGGCGATTGTTAACTTGCGTTGTCAAGTTGGAATCTGAAAACTATTTGAAGGCGTATTAATGTACATGATATTTTATACCGCTCTCGAACTTTAAACCTGACATGGTCGGCGATAGTTATTGCGCCCTCGCCGACGGGTTCACTCGAACGCAGGGCACTTCATGATACCTGTATATTGTAATAATTTTGAAGTGGTTTACTATCGCAATTTTCGCTACTCTTTTTTACTGTAAGTTATTGGATGCTGAAGTACTTTTATTTTTGTAAATACGAAGATTTTTTATTGCCATTTGTGTTTTTTACTTTAGCAAGACTTGTTTTAAAGGAACTTTATAATCACATTTAGTCATGTCTCAGATTATCATTTACTGTCTTCGTATAGCTGACATCCGGGTAACACCAGATGGCTAAGTTGCATCTGGGTAAAACGTGCAACGTCAGATGGCTGGGTTGCATCCGGGTAACTGTAACGTTATGAGTTGAGTGTAGAAACGTAATTGTTAGTGTATTATACTGTATATTTTAAAAGTATTGAATATTATAATCTTTTAATGATTAATTTTTATATAAAGATAGCAGAGTAAACGTAATTTTCTATATTTAACTATGTGATAATTTGTAAATAAAATAAAAGCGATATTTTAAAAGAATTTGTAATAAATATAATTCTATCGACATTAAATACCATGTGACGTGTGTATAGTTTAATCTTCCTCTTCAGTTTGTTAAACCTTTTAATTTTAATTTCCGTTGCCAAGGAAGTTAATCGCTCGTTCATATTATATCATTTTGTAGGTTTTCCATGGTAATCGATGTTACGGTATTTTCTCTCGATTATAACGACTCCAACGATTGACGACTCTGTTTGGTTAATCCATGTACCGTTTACGGTACTATGCAAGGTACACTGCTTCGATTCGTCGTATTTTTTTAACCCCCTAGACAAAGCACTGGTAAAATATGTATGTAGTGAAGAATTTCAAATAATTTATAACGTTATTGCGTCATAAGGTATAAAATAATTAGGTAATCCCACTAATAATTCGACTTGCTTCGTACCTATAATGATATGTAAGTTTCATGAAAACAACATACATCAACATTACAATGAAACGGACGATGAGATTATTGGAAATAACATATTACCGTGAGTCCGTACACGGAGATGAATCACACAATACATACAGACATAACATTACATCAAAATAAAGAAATAAAGAAAACATTTAGCAATGTCGTGGAGGTGACATTATTGCGTGCCTTCACTTAGGACGTACGTACCAAATACTAAGACAAGGTATAATATCTAAGAGTAACCTTTCTACTAAGAATATGTGACAAGATACATGACGTCATCGTTGACCGTCATCAATTTTCCCCATCTATGAAGTAATATAGTTATTTCACCTACATATGGTGTATACATTTCTAAGCTTGTTCGATATGCTAGCGCTTGCACTGATTATGATGAATTTGAAAAATGTCGTAGACTCCTGTATTCCAAGCTGAACGACTTAGGTCAACTTTCAATCGTTTCTGTGACATATATCATAATTGGTGACAAAATAGAACAAACCAGGTAGGTAGATGATCTCTGATTGTTTAAACGTCGCTTATCCTATATACGTAGAGGGTATTTTCATAAATTAACTGCTTAGAATGATATATGACTGGTGTTTATCGGTAAAGCAGGACATGCTAACTTTTTTTTTTGCAAACACCTGATATCACCCCTTGGTTTTAACCTTGAGGTACACATATCGTTACTTTGTAAAATAATTTCTGTGAATTCTCCGAGACTGGTCATTTCAATGCATATTAGTTTCTGTCCTACTGTACATATTGACCTATGTATGTATGTGTGTCACTGTATTTTGTCCCATGTATATTGTTAACCGCCGAGTGTACTTTGTTGAAATCCATGTACTACTATTGGGTATGTTAATGTTTCTTGTTTTGTCAATTTTCACTATATAAAAGCTTACTCACCAGAAATCCGCTGTGATTTAGTGCAAACACTGCATACATAGTTCGCCCCCCCCCCCAGGTTGGTTCGGTAATCTATAAAAGTTTATTTTGTAAGTGTGTGAATGAAGGTTACCACTGTTCTTTTCAAATATTTTACAAAATTGGGTAAGACTGAATTCAGACGTAAGCCCAGCAAACGAAAATGCATTTCATGAGCAAATAATTTGGAATAACAAACTGATTCTTCTGGGAGGGAAATCGGTCTTCATTCAGGATTTTGTTGATGCTGGAATTTTGTTTGTTAAACAAATGTATGAGGAAACTGGGAAACTACGGGCATGGGAGGAGATTCAGAGTAAAGGAGTACCTGGGTCATGCTTTCTAAAATGGTATGGCCTGATACAGTGCATACCTCACAAACTAAACAACTCTGATTTTGACGAGAATGTTAACCCTTTGGATAAACCAGTTAGACTTAAACACGGCAGTACATCGGTTGAGTTACAAAATTGTACTACAAAAACTGTAGCTAAGAGTATTGTTAACAACAAATTTATCTCGCCTAGATCTGAGACCTATTTTACTGTATTATTGAATATTTCACACTTGATGTCTTGGTTGCCAATCTACCAGTTACCCTTTCGTACTACAATTGATACTCGTCTCAGAGAATATGTAAAATATTTCCTGGAGATAGAGTACTTCATTGCTGTCCGACGGAATAAGTTGACTTCTCATAACAAGAAATGGGGATATTTTATGAAAAATGTTACCCAATCCACTTCACAATATGTAGATTAATTGCAATTTGTAATGTACAAACCAGGTATGTAAGATGTTAATTTCAGTGCAAACTCCAATAAAAGTTTATAAATACAAAAAAAAAAAAGTGTGTGAATGAAAACTTAAGGTATTTTAGTAACAACTCATTTTTTTAAATATCAGTATTAATATGTCTAGTATGCGTAAAACAAAAACATTTCACGTGAGAATGGAAGTTTGATTAACATATACGATATGTCATTGCCGATTGGCTGGTCGACATCCCTGATTTTGTTACGGTAGACTTGATTGGTTACGACATTGAGGTTATTGCCAACATTACGAAGGTTTGTCAGTTGAGTATAATTTGTATGTGTCCTGATATCTTAGTAACATATAGGCGGTGTGTGTAACTTATTGGTAGCGGACTGATAAAAGACAGGTAAGTTCTCTTGCGAGTATGGTCCGATATCATAGTAACGTCATGATAATGCATTTTAGACGTTTAGACATATACTTGCACAAATGCGATCATAATGTCACTAACCTGACCAGAGTGCAGTCAACTCTGGTGACAGACCCAGTAAAGCTACATAATTTACTGTGAGAAGATCGAGTCTTTCGTGGCAACTAAAACTATGATTAGCAATTAGTGTGTGTCAAATTTATAAAGATTATTTCTGTATGTTTCGAAACTATTTGAAAACCTGGTCAAATACTTGGGTAGTCGAAAAATAAAAATAAATATAAATAAACGGTAAATAGCCACACCTTCTTATTTTTGCCCATGGCACTTAGCAAATGCTTTTAAGACAGCAATAAGGTTTTTTTCTTATATATTTCTAAACACATAACTTTATAAGCTAGAGTCCCGTTTTTAAATTTACACTTCACAAGACAGTGGGAAGTGAAGAGTATCTGGATTTAGAAATACAATAATTTTCCACAGAATAATGGCTCATCGGGGGTGTTAGAGGGGAAAATTTCCTATCTAATGGGTAAAGCTACTGTAAGAGTTAACGGGTAGTGAATTACTGGCCTTGGGAACACCTTTATTCAAACAGGCTCTTAAAACAGCCGAGACAAGTTTACGATATCCCGGGTGAAGTGCTAAGTATTAATACGACTTAGTAACGCTCAATGAATCCCGTAAATTTCAAGTCGTAAATACCGCATTGTTCTTTTTTCTTTTTCGAAATCTGGTTTAGTCCGTTTGGCAGTCTGTCCCAAGACGCGTTTTAAATAAACGAATACCAGTTGTTATCCGGGTTTAGATCGCAGACCCTACAACAGGCTGGTTGGCGATCCGATCCGCTCAAAAACATGCAACATGTTTTCAGTTGTTAGGACATGAACATGAAGCTAACGTCGGTTTATAACTAAAACCGTGCCCGTATACGAAGTTCGCAAAACGCATTCAGTCTTGGGTATTGGGTCCGTGGCTAATGACGGCCAGCCACGGACCGGGTCTGAATTACATACATTTTGTTGCATTATCATTTTTTACAATAAACATGATGTCAGGGTTGCAAATAATGTTATTGCTGATAAATAAAGCACAACATTGACAACATAGAGTGACAGAGAGAAAGGATAATAATTAATAAATATACATTGCGATTCAGAAAACTGACAGAAGAAAAAAATTGCCCCTTTTTTGTGGCATGTACAGCTACTATGATAAATGTGTTAAAGCGGGGGTGTCGTCACCTGCGCATGCATCAGATGGCCATAGCGTGTCATTGTTTACAAACAAGCGTCTACCCATGAGCCTTTGCGTTTTTAGCGTGCGTTGTTATCGTCGCTTGGGACTCAATTCCCGCGCGTGCGCAGGTGACGACCCTCCCACTTTAAGTGTAGAATAATAATCCAAATAAAGGTCAAGAAGAAGGCCGTATTCGGAAAGCCGATTGCAGTAAATGGTAGTTTGCCTTATTTGTTATTCCAGGAAAACAAGATGGCTGTACATCACCTCGCTACGCTCTTGACTCTACTCCTTGCAGTGGTACTATTCTTAGTTGTAATAGTCTTCAATATATTTAGCGGCGTGCCTGAGCAATCTGGCGGTAAGTTGTTAATATATACTGTTGTTGTTTTCACTCACAGAAAACAAACAAAAAATAGTGTACTTATTGACAATTCTGTGAATTTCGCGCTCCCATATTTGGAAGTATATCAGTATTGATGTTATATTCCATGGCATGATACGTTGAAGTGAGTCCCATGCAACGTAAACTACAATGAAATTCGTGCCGAGCAACGACTTGAGGATATAATGTAAAAACACTTGTTTATTTCACAGGACTATTTCTCAACACCGTGAATAACATATCTGATAAATATTTCCTGGAAATCACTCCAGCTGGCTGGACGTTCTCAATCTGGGGTGTGATTTACACATGGAACATATTGTGGCTGATCTACGCCCTCACAACAATCTTTCGCAAGAATGGAACAGACTACGTATACGTGCGCCCTCAAGTGTTGAGTCCAATGTTTTACGCTACGTTTTCTTTGAACCTGGGGCTGAATATCGGGTGGTTGATTTTGTTTGACAGGGAATATCTACTAGTGTCTTTGTTTTGTTTGGCTTTAATTGCCTTTACCTTGTATATTTGTATTTTTATTAGTCATTTCAATTTGTACCGAAATCTCCACGAATTATCTAATTTCGACGTCTGGGCAATTCGGATACTTGTCCATAACGGTTTGGCCATATACGCTGCTTGGAGCTCCCTGGCAACCATTCTAAACCTGAGCATAGTTCTAAGATACGTTGCAGATGTGGACCAATCCACAGTGACCATTGTTGCCTTGGCGATAGTATCAGTTGAAGTCACTGCGTGGTTCGTGATAGAGCAATGCACGGTGTTAGAGAAATACTTACGCTACACAATCACTCCATATTTTGTCGTTATTGTCTTTCTAATTGGTTGTATCTCCAAAAATTGGCATCTTACTAGAATTACTTCCGCGCTTGCTTCCACCTTAGGCGTGGCCAGCGTCTTGTTGATAGCGCGGGTAGCATTACTTCTGTATCGACATTTTACTCAATCTGTTGTTAGTACGACGAACATAGAGAAGATTGGAGAAGCCGAGTTTAGAGAAGAGGACGACACCGACGAAAATTTGGAAGTTACAACCTTTTAATTTGTTAAGTCACCTGCGCACGCGCGGGAATTGAGTCCCAAGCGACGATAACAACACACGCTAAAACGCAAAGGCTCATGGGTAGACGCTTGTTTGTAAACAATGACACGCTATGGCCATCTGACGCATGCGCAGGTGACGACTCCCCCCGTTTAAAAGTAAATTCGTTTGCGTGGTGTATCAAGTAGTAGTTGTCTGCTTGTCAGAGACATTCTTTGGCAGAAGGAGCCAATTTTACAACATGTAGTGTAACTGTAATTATATTATAATTACACGTAGCGACTGATGTGTTGATAAAGTTATTTTTTAATTTGATAGACAGTTTCAGTTGTTTGTTTCGCTGATGCGATTATTTAAGATAATGAAGATTGTTCCTTAATATATAAAATTAAATTGCATTTGGATCTATATTTGGCTTACTTTTTGTTATTACCTTTATATAACCTTTATATTACCTTTTTATTACCTTCTATAGTCATATTACTAGTACGCACGTTGGAAGCATCATTTATTATACTAGTAAGAAGTCATGAGTATCACGGTGCCCCTGACAGGAATTATAAATTTGTCGGGCTTCCGAAGCTAAATGGAATTCCCAAAGTTCAAGTTCAGTCAGCTTTTGAAAAAAGTTTCAAGGAAAAAAAAATTGGAAATAAATTTGTGTGTGTCTTTTTATTGTTAAGATCACTATATCAATGTACGATTTTCTGTTTCATCAATGACGTCACGGTGTCAGAAAATAGGCATAACTAGAGTTAGTCACATGGTGAGGTAAATATATAGATTTAGACGGCATACTATAAGGTTATTACG